TTTTTTTTTCTTTTTTTCATTTTTGAAATATTTAATTTTTTTCTACTTCTTATGTTTTTTCACTTTCTTTTTTTATTTATGTATTTTTTTACTTTATTGATTGATTTATTTAATTTTCTTTATTTTTTCATGTACCTCCCATCCCAGGAGCTCACCCCTGCCCACATCCTGCATCCCCCTTGAAAACCAGGGGCCAAACAGAACGCCTTCGTGACGCTTCCTTGGCCGAAGACACGGAACCATCTCTGATACTGGGTGCGTTGAGCCAGTCCTGTTCTCCCCAGACCCTCTGCCAGGTGCCGTGGCTGTTCTCAGGGGCTGTGTTGGGCTTCATGCTGCAGACTGGGACCCCTGGGGAAGGGTGCCCCCATGAAGATGGGGCTTCAGTTGCCAAAAAGGTCTGACGCCTCCAGGAATAACCCCCCAAAGGCAGAGGTGAGGGCAGAAGCAGGCAGCGTGGGCAGGACGTCTGCCTCGTGGTTAAAGGGAGCTGGTGATGGACTGACGGACCACTGGTCTGTCCGTCCAGCAAAGCTGAGGTGTTATCACCCCCTAATGCACCTCACAGCCAAACCTGGCCCTGCTGCCCAGCCCTACTCGGCTTTTACCTTTCTTGGGCATTTTTGTGTCATACCTGGAGCCATTAGACCCAGATTGACATCCTGCCCTAATGAACCGCAGCCCGTCAGAGAGCTGTTTATTTAATGTCAAGAGATGGGTTTAAAATATAGCTTTGGTTCTCCTGGTGCAACAGTCTGGGTGGCTTTTCCTGCCCTTCATCCTGGGATGAACAGCAGGAGCTGGCAGTTGGGGTTTAAATCTCTGCAGAGGATGCCAGAGCCAAACAGAAGGAGGAAGCAGAGAAGATTTGGGGCACACAGGTCCCCACCTTCCCTGCGCCATCTCCTCCTCTCTCTTACTCAGGATGTGGAAGCCTGCAAGACCCTGGCAAAGTCCTTTAGGTTGTGGCTGAAGAGGGCAGAGATCAGCCCACAGGGTGCCTTTGGGTGCTGCTGGATCTAAGTGTTGTGAATTTAACAGAGCATCCCAACATCCCAGCAGTGCCTTCCTCACACCCTTTCCTGCAGCAGCATTTGCTTTTCCTCTTTTCCAACACGCTCCGGAAACCCTCTTGCCACGCACTTGGTCTCACTGTACTCACCAGGAAACATCTTCAAGCATAATAATTTTATTAAATCTTGTAGGTAATCTTTTTTCCCCCTTTTACCTCTCGCCCTAAGGAGAAAGCTCTCTGACCAAGGGTGGTTTCTCAGGGTAATGTCATCCCTGCCCGTCCATCTGTCTGAAGCAATTACCTTGGCTGCCTTAGGGATTATTTTTCAGACAGAGTGTTGACATTTTCCCCTGGTTGGGCGTTCAGCGTGTACCTGCGGTGGTGATTTCCGAGTCTAACGAGAGGAATGCCCTGCGGTTAATGAGGTGTTGGAAGACAGCACGGCTAAATCTGGCATTACGCTTTCCAACTTTCCAGTTTAATTAGCAATCTCAATCAGGGGTCGTGCACTCATTCATTTTTCAAGTTGAATGATGACCCAGCCTTTTGCAGGGAAAGCAACTGCAACGTTTAAGGAAAGTGGTGATGCCGTTCCCAGTGCTGGACCCACCAGAGCTCTGGTACCAGAGCCACCAGTGGTGGCCGGGTCCTTCTCTTGTCCCTTCTCCTGCAGCTCATTGGCCTAAATCCGGAATTTGGGCAGATATTCAGTCATAGAATGGTTTTGGTTGGAAAAGACCTCTGAGATCATTGAGTCCAACCATAACAGGACACTGCCAGGTACTGGTTTTAATGGCAAACTCCTCAACTCGTATCCACTGCAGGTAAGCAATGACAAGTTGATTGACTCATTCAGGTTGGAAAAGGCCAGTCCAATGTCAACCCAACCCCACCATGGCCACTAAACCATGTCCCCAAGTGCCACATCTCACTTTTTTTGATGCCTGACCACCAAAAGAGTCACCCGAGGAGGATGGGGAAGACAAATCAGGGTAAAGTGTGGTGCTCCTGTGATGCTCTCGCTTGGCAGAAGCAGCTCTTGAGCTATACAGGAGATCTGCTTCGTGCTGGGAGAGGAGAAACTCAGCTTCACAAGGGGTTGAGTGTCACCAAGGGGCCCCATTGCCATTTCTAGAGTCCCATTTAGCAGACCCAGGGGTGTGGGAGGACCCCTGGGAATGGGGTTGTGATGCATCGCCACCGTCATGTTGCACCATCACACCCTCAATGCCAGACCTCGATCACTTCCACTGCCCCATCCTTACTGGGACAAGGTCAAGGCTCTTCGGTGCCTAGAATTACGTGTGAACAAGTAGTAGAAGAGACTTAATAAATTTATTTACTTAATAAATAAATACAAATAACATATGGCAGGCGCTAGCACGGAAGGCAGCAATATTCATGTTGTATGGGAGGATGGGATGTCTTGGGGCTTGGAGCTTTTGGCTGCTGCTAATTTAGCTGAATATGCTCAGGATTTTTGGAAAGCATTTAACCAGGCTGGCACTCAGTAACGTGGCTGATGCTGCGAGCTGGAATTGCTTGAAGGGCAATATCAAAAGCTGCATACTTGGATAAATAGGTTAACACGGAGTATCCAGGGAGGTTTTGCCTGGGGATAAAGAGTGCATTTCTCTGTAGCCGGGTTGCCCTTGGCCACCTTTCTGGGTCCCGCCCAGGGCAGGTTTGTGCGTGTCCCCAGGAGCTGCAGCGTGGTCACATTGTGGGGGGATCAGTGACTCTTTTGGGGGGTGTCAGGGTTTTTCCCCTCAACTCCGCAAAGCTTTGCGCAAAGTGGAGGAGCTCTGATGGTCTGGTTTTGGTGAAGCCTTTACCTAAAGCTCACAGCTGTAATGTTTGGCTGTCATACTAGCCAAGAAGAGAGAGAGCGAAGGGAAAGGAGGTGGTGATGGTTGGGTTTTGGGGTTCGGGTCATCTTGATTGGGTTTAGTCGGGTGAGACGGGCAGCGGGAGGAAGAGGATCGCCTTCTGCCCGTAGTGAGTCCGCGGCCCCAGCTTGCTGCTCCCGTTCTTCTTCAGCCCGACAAACCAGTTCTTATCCGCGTGCATTTTGGAGACGTAGGTGTTGTAATGGTTCTCTTCCAGCCGTTCGAGGAACAGGCACTCCTCGCCCAGCAACTGCTGAAAGAGACCCCGGGGAACGAACCACAGTGAGATGGGCGATGCCGTGGGGAGGAGGATGCTCTCCAGACCACCCCTATGAAACCTTTGTGCCCAGTACCACTAATTTTGGAGGTAAATAGCCTTGATTTAGACCCCTGGGCTACTCTACAGTGACTTGTCCGTGCCCTGGGCATTTTATTTGGCTGTAACCAAGCCCGGCACCGGCTCCTGCCCTGGCACCAACTTGTGTGGTGATGGCTGTGGGTTCAGGGCATGAGCACAGGGAACAAAGCAGCTCTTTGGTGAGGTTAAGCACCCCATGACCAGGATTGTGCCCTGCACTGTGCTATAAATGGGACTATTCTTCAAGGCACAGATTATTTTCGGTGACTCCGTGCCCTCAGATTCCTTGGTAAGCTCCTAACTCGCATGGTCCCGCTCGCACCAGGATGTTGCGGATGCAACGTGGTGTTATTTGAATTATTTATTTATCCTCCCCCCAAAGTAAAGCCGGATGAAGAGCGGCCAAAATAGCAAGCAGAGGCTGATTGCTGCCTGTGGTTTGCATTACTCAGCGCTCCGAGATTTGGGCAAACCTCCGGCCCCCACAGCGAGCTCCCCCGTACCGAGCCATAGAGGAGCCCGTTGGTGTCCATCGCCAGGTACTGCCCCGACTGCGTGCTCCGGATGTACACCTCGCCCACGCTCTCTGCGCTCAGCTGCAGTTGAACTGCAAGGGAAAATAGAACAACAGCAGCGAAAATTAAAAAAATAGGAATAATGGGGAAAAAAATTAAAAATATATTGTCCAAGCTGCTCGGAAAGTGAGCAGGGTATTTTTGTTCTGAAGCCCGGCTTATAAAGAGTTCATAAGAAACAGTGCAGCGTGTAATAAAAGTGTATCCTTGTACCCTCTCCTTCAAAGAAACCCCACAGCCGCGCTTTAGGAACCAAAGACCAATTTTTTCCTTATTTTACATCAAAGGGCGGGCAGCCTTTTGGTTAAGAGGCTGGAACGCGACACAGGAGATTGGGGTTTTAATTCTGGCTCTAATTTCCAAATTTCTCCTGTGGTTTTGACAAGAGGCTGCAGGAGTGACACATGAAGAAGTATTTCGAGAGCTAAACCAGGGACAGGCGGACTTCAGATGCCTGCGTTGTGAAACCCCCATCCACCGCATCCCGTACAGCCACGGTGCATCGTAGGTGGAGAGTGGAGAAATAGAAAGCGCTGATCTTCATCCTAAAAAAATCCATTTCACGGGTAGCCATGGGGCACCTCTTAGATTGTCCTGATTTGGGTGCTGAGGTGAATTTGATGCTAAACCAAGCTCAAAGCCTGCCCATGCGCAGGCTGGATGGGGCTGACGGGCTCAGGGTGATGCTGCGTTGGCTCATGCACTGGTTTTCTGTCCGAGTGATCCTTCCCATCTCCTATTTACTGTTTTTTCCTGAGCTTTTACTGTAGAGATTCATAAGATAAATACTTAGGTTGTTTTGAATGAAGTATGAACAGATACCTCGGCTCCTTCCTTCCTTCCTTTTCAGATGTGTTTTATTTTATCCTTGTTTGGACGAGGTAAAAGGTAACGTTACCTCTTGGGGTGCTAGAAGCCCCCGTCTCGGTGAAATCTTGGCTGTAAAGGTTCACATTCTAAAATTATAAGAAGTGAGGATACTGCCCTAAAAAGTGGCACTGAGAGGACCCTCCAGCTACTGATGGGGACATTGAGGCCTCTGTCTGCAGAGGGAGGGAGAATGGCGGGGCCAGAGGAAGGAGCTCATGCACAAATTCTGGCGTTTTTCACAGGTATTTCCTTCCATGAAGCAATGGGATGAAGCAGAGAAAATAAGGCTGTCTGTGGAAACGAGCACGGGCTTCATCCTCGAGGGTCTGCAATGTCCTGGTGAGTTTTATTTTCATTTCGTGGCGCAAGCTCGGGATGCCAATGCACAGAAACAAAGGATGCGGGGAGGGCTTGGATGGGTGACGACTTGGAGATCCACCCTGATTCTGGGGCTAGCACCTGGCAAGGCGATTTAAGCTGAAACTAAGAAATCTGGCTATGTTTTTCTACCAAACCAGAGGTGCATGGGCAGTTGACAAAGCACCAACACAGGCTCTAACGCAGCTGTACCCCGGCTGCACCAGTAGCATCCCATGGCACAGGTCGTGGCCAGGGGCAGCACTGCTGGCGTGCAGCCCTTCCAGGAGTTTCCTCGGTAAATATTTGTGCGTTCGGATATCCAAGTTGACGAGATCATGTACAGGAGCTTCCTTTCTGGCAGAGGTTTCCAAACAAGGCAGTGAGGTGCGAGCGTGCCGGGTGCCATGCATGGGGCTGCTCCATGCAGACACGGCGCAGCCCTGGGGATCGGTGGCTGAAGGGAAACGGTCGCTTCTCTGGGGAAGAAAGACTGAATTTTGGGCAGCATCTGTGCCATGAGCCCTGTGTTTGTCCAGCCTCGGTGAGCTCATCCTTGCGTGGTGGGGAAATGGTGTTTATAATTAAAAACTCTGCTATAAACTGCCTTTCGGTGAAAAAACAATAACAGAAAGAAAGGTCAAGTCTTGGGGGGGAAGAAAGCCACACGGACGCTTGTGGTTTAAAGAAAATAAAAGTGCTTTTCTTAGCACTTTGTAAGGCAGACTTGGCTCCTCCCTGTGCTTCCTGCTCCCCAGATAGGAGCCTGGCAGGTCCCAGTTATGTTCCAGTAAACGTTCAGGATATGGCGTACCCAGAGGTTTCTGCTGAGAGCAGAGAGCTCCAGTGCTGGGGATGAGCCTGGCACTGCACTCCCAGTCCAGCTCTCCTTCATCATTGGGTTAAAAAATCCTCACAAGCATCGTGGAAGTGCAAGAGCCCTAAAAGCTTAGACTTTCCCACCGATTCCCTTGGATTTTGTGTCTTTGCACAACCATTTTGTTGTTTGTCGAGGGTTGCTCTGCACCACTGATGGCCTGGCCAGGCTCGGTGGGGAGAGCTGCCGAGGGCCAGGGGCTTCTCGGTGTCAGGGCCATTTGGTGACATGGGCAACTACTGAACAGGGCAAACATGCCCCTTTCCTTGCCAAACAAGATAATATTGCTATTTCTTCATATTAAGGTTTGCCCTACGTCAGATAATTTGCAGCACTTTTTAATTTGCACTTTTAATTTGCACTCTTTGCAAAGATGGCATTTTCTTGGAGAGTGAGTCCTGCCAGCTTCCTAGGGTAAGTTCTCCGATTACAGAGAACAAACGTGCTCCTAGACAGGCAGTGGGATGTGCAAATGGTAGGATGAGTGTTGGCATCTGTGTGCCCAGTTCATCCCAGCAGCTGGTCCCCAGTATCCCATGGCATCAGGGAATGGGGACAGGCAAGAGGAGACTCTGTCCATGGATGGCCCATTACATCTTTGTGACACACAGATGCACATAAAATGTCTTGAAATGGTTTCAGAATACAATAATACATGCTTGCTTTCAGGAAAAAAATAAGTGAATGGTAACACGAGTGCATTTCTGAAGGCATAAGTCACAAAATCACACAAATAAGATGTGCAGCTGCAGTGCTGCTGGGAACTATTGCATTTGCACAGCCCACGGTGGTGCTGGGTCTTCTACCCAGTGCAAATGCAGAGATGCCACAGGATGATGTGTGACAGCCACGTGTGTAGGGTGGGAGGCTGCTCCTAAGCCCTGTGACTACGTTGATGATGAGTTTGGGTTAATACTGCTGCAGGTGTGAAGCAGCACGCACACCTCCATACAGGCTATAGGTGTGCTTGGTGCATGTGCTCGCCTCCACGGGTTTGCTGCTCCCAGGAGGAAAGAGAGCCTGGTACAAAGCCCATCTTCCCCATCTCCCCCCTTCCCGGCTGATAAAATCATAGCGGGAGCACCAAGAAGCCCCGTCAGGTTTGCTTACTGTGCTGGTCGCTTCGGTCCCTGGTCCCATCCACTTTGCCATCTGGGAGGATCCGTAGGAAGTGGCCGCCGTTGCTGCAGTAGAGGAGTTTGGGTTTCTTGTAGTTGCCCAGGGGCAGGTTGAACTTTTCGGTCAGGGCAGTGAAGGTGGTGATTTCCCCTTCGGCCATGGCTCAGCGGCCGGGCTGCAAGAGACGCAGTGGCGTGTGGCAGCGGCGACGGCACCGAGTGCTGGGCACACGCGGCTGCTGCCAGGCTTTTAAAGGGAGGAGAGGGAGCCCGGTGGTCCTCGGCCGGTGGCCGGGCTGGCTGGGGACAGGTGATTCACAACATGGGTGATGGCAGTGACACAGCCCAAAAGGTGATGCTCCTCAGCGTGGGAGGTGATGGGGGGGTCGTCTCCTCACTGGGTGTATCTGGGCAGTAGGGACTCTGTCCTCTTAATTTATAATAGTAAATTCTGGTTTGTTTCTGCTTTCTATTGACGTATGTACTAAAATTATAGGCTCAAACAGACAAACAAAAAAAAAAGGTTTGAAAAACACTCGGTGTCTGATCGCAACCCACAAGAAGCAGGAAGGGAGCCCAGGTTAATAACGCCCTCTGCTATTATAACTTTCAAACACGACGATGACTGGCGCTGCTTGGCAGATAGCAAGCGTTACCTCATATCTTGGCACGCTGCGTCTCACCTGGGCCAGGCACGCACACGCTAAAGATCAGCACAGACGTCAGATGTGGGGAATGAGCAGGGGACAGGCGGCTGTCACTGCCCACACAGGAGATGTACCCATCCACTGATCAACAGCACACGGGGGAGAGGAGCTCTGAGTCCAGATTATACCGTGTTTGTGCACCCTTGGAGCTTCTGGCCGTGGTTTAGTGGGCACGGTGGGGTTGGGTTGACGGTTGGAATTGATCTTAGAGGTCTCTTCCAACCTTAATGATTCGGTGATTCAATAAAAGTGGTCAAAAGGAAAAGGCAAAGCCCTGGCTGGTGCAGAAGGGTGTAAGTGGGCACGGGCCCTGCCCAGGGCAGTGGTGAAGTCCCCGTCCCTGGTGGATGTGGCACTTGGGGACATGGTTTAATGGCCATGGTGGGGTTGAGTTATGGACAACTTGGTGATCTTGGAGGCCTTTTCCAACCTTAATGATCCTGTGATTCTATGAGGGCCTGGGGGAAGGCACAGAGACCATACTGAAACCTCCTTTTGCAAGACCTTGTGTGCTCATGATCTTTGTTTAAGCAGTTGCTGTGCCAAAACCCAAAGGCGTCATCAGACCAACAAATGATGCTGTGAATGCTGGAGGGCAAGATGCCACTGCAGACCAGAGTCCCCCACATAACCCAGGTATCTTCAAATCTACCTCAATGTTTCTAGCTTAGAAACTACATTTAAAATCTCCCGTAAATATGCTGGTTTTCATATACAAAATTCCGTAGTGCTTATAGAGAAGTGCATTTATGAACAGAAAAAGACAGGGCATGGTACAAATCTAGATACAGGAAATTACTTTAAATGTCATGTATTCCCATTGCTATGTTATGGAAAATATCATATAGTCACTGTTTATGTATATTTATAGCTTGGTTAAATGTCTCTTTAGCACCGAGTTGTGTTATTGGTACATTAGGATGGAGCCAGTATCGCACTGCTTGGGTTTGCTGTGGCACTTAAAGAGTGACCTGGGAGATATTAAGGACTGAACTCCCTGCAGTACACACACAGGTATGTAGAGATATAATCTCGAAACATTTGGCTGTAAACTCTATTTAAATATTTAAATTTGCCGATGCAGCTGCAAGGAGGGGAAACTGCTCCTTCAAGTGGATCCCAGACGGCTGCAGGAGACAAAAATGACTGCAAAAGACTTTATGGCTATTGCTGAAAACACACCCAGCCTTTCCACCGGCTTTGGTCCGTACAGGGGCTTCATCCCTTGCTCTGACGGGTCCCCTTGGGGTCTCTGTCAGAACAGAGATGTTTCCTAAGGGGAGGAAAACAACTATAAAGAAAACAAATATTCCCTGCCATCCCAGTTCCCTCTGGTTCACAACAGCTTCTCTTCCCTCCCACCAGCCCGTGTGCTGCTGCAGGTGGAGGTGTTAAATCACAAACACAGCAGCTGTTTTTCTGTCAAGAGCTCATGCTTTTCTTGTAATAGTTTGGTTTCTAATGCCAACTCTCTGCCAAGCTTTGACCGAAAGCCTCCGGGTCGTTCAGCGCGGTGCACAGGGCTTACGTGCTTTCCCGAGCATTAATCAAGATCAGGGCTATTGTGTAATTTCCTGGAACGAAAGCTTCTCTTCAACCTTTATCTGAGGGAAAAGTCTCCGGGGTTGATGAGGGAGAGAAGTGAGAAACAAATCTCCCAAAGCCAAGAGCTTGGATTGGGATCGTGGCAACCTTTGGCTGCAGCCGGTGCAGACCAGGATGGTTCCCTTGGTCACCTGAAGGTCTCCACCTCCAAGGGCACCTATGGACACCTTTAACAGCTCGACTGGAAATGGCTCCTTCATTTCCAAATTTCCTTTAAGGTTTTTTTTGCTATTTTTAGGACGTGTTCGGTGCTCACCAGCTGCCTTTGACTGTGCTGAATGAACACTCTTTTCCACTCCCATTGTGTCTCCTTCCTAAATACTCTCGCTGTGCTCACGCTTTTATGACCGTGGAGCTGGTGCTCTACGCACACCACCACTCATGGCCCTGCTATTACACTTTTGGCAGGAACATGGTGGGTTTTTATGGGAATTTAAAAGCAAGAGTGAGAGAGAGAACCTGAACCAAGGACAACAGAAGGGGCCTTATTTCTTTGGGTAGAAGCCCAACAAAGTGATTAAATAGTTCAAAGCGGAACAGAAAACTCTCTCCAAGATGCTAAGCTGAGAGACACCACACTCCTGTGGTTATTTGGTGCCCCGTGGAGAAAGGAAATTATTCTAAGAGGGGATTGCTGTAGGAAGGGGATGGCGGCTGGTGAGCGGTTGATACCACCAGTCGCAGTAGGATGGTAAATTGGAGCCTGAGATGGTGTTTGGCCAAAACAGGCTGTGTTCATAGCTCTCCCCTTTCCTCCCACCCCTGCATATCACACTCATCCCCTTCCCTCCCATAGCGTTCCCATGTTGTGTCGCCAGAGGGAAAACCACTGCTGGGAATGAAGGGCATCGTCACTGGGAGCTGGACCCGGGGCATCTGCTCTGGGGTGGCTCGGCTTCGTCTGCAGGCATGGGGAGCAGAGCCCAGAACCCCAAAAGGTCAGAAACAGCTTTGTGAAGAAAAAAAGAGGACTAGAAAAGAGAGTTAAACCCTAATGTTAATTTTAACCAGG